ACGAAAGATCTCTCACAAAATTCTGTGGAGACTATGTCGCGGTTCGCATCAATGAGCTAGAGAATTATCTACTAGAAGCCTTTAGTGATGACATCCTCAACTCAGTTTTCCAAAAGAAGGCTTGACGATTACTCTAGCTCTCATAAGTACTAAGGGAAATTTATCCAAGTGTAACTCTCCAATCACTTCTATTGAGGATGCAACGGATGTTCTGATTTTACAACTAGTTACCAGTAGCACCTTCTATGTTCGATCTTTCCCAGTCAGATAGAAATCAGAAGTCAGACGAGAAGAGGTAGGAAAGATATATTTGATTCGTTACCAATATATAGAGGACCTTTTCTATAAGCTGGCTAATGAAACGTAGAAGCTGTGTCCCATGCCGTGTTGAAACGTGATCTGGTGCGGATGCATGACCGAAAGCCTCCAGCTAAACAAGTCCACTTAAACAACGTGGTCAGCATCCAATGTCGAACACTTAATGAGCTATTGATTTTGGGGAATTATTTATAGCTACAGATCACTCCCCCCCTAGTGAGGTAGTGATGCCCCTAAGACGTGACCAGCCAGAAGTTTAAACCCAACGAGTTTGTCGTTGGTAAACACTCTTCTGATAGCTTGCCTCGTTTAGCAGCGTCTGGTCGTCTTTCCTTAAACTATGGGACCAAAATGTACAACATAGCAATAAAGAAATATAGCACAATGAAAATTTCGGTTCCTTGCGAAACTTCGTCGTTCTTTTCCAGCCGTCCTGGAAAAGAGGAAAAATAAAACGTGTGAGTGCATGTCGAAAATGCACTCGTACTTGCGTAGGGACACAAAATGAGCGGAAAAAATAAATAAATAAATAAACTAATACACTTACAAACAGCGTAAAAGCGATCAGGAAAAAAAGTGTTTTTTGTTTGTTTTTTTTATATATAAAATATATATACGCTCAAAAAAGATAAAATACTTTTTGTTTTTTTTGTTTTTTTATATAAACTAAAAAATGATCATATTAAAAAAAATTTTTTTGGAATAAACTATGAAAAGGTAATTCAAGATAAAGCTTATGTCCTACGTGCGATATTCGTTAAGATGTTCTGGAAATCTTACTCGTCTTCCAGAACGCGTTGTTTTAGGTTTATTTATCGATGTTGACGAAGTATCAAGTTGTGTGTCGGTTGTCGTGTAGGGTACTACGAGTGTAGTGGCTGTGTCGTTTGCTTGTACCGAAGGAAAATCGACGTAGCTAGGGTTTCCTTCTAAGTACGCTGCTTTGAGTTGATCGATACTGATGGGCACTTGAGTGTCCTGATGAGCAAGCAATATTGCTTTAGCGATGTGTTCCTTAACTGTGGAAAATACTTTACGGGCTATGTCGTCTAAACTAATTGATTTCGCATTTCCACGAAGCTGATCGCTTAACGGTTTCATAAGGGATGCGCATTCGGGTATGAACCGTCTATAGAAACTTACAAGTCCGTTGAAAGTTCGTAAGTGCTCTAGATAATCCATAATGGCCGCCACTTTTCTCCTAAGGGGTCGGATGCCTTGGGCATCAATGGTGTGTCCTAGGAAGTTTAAGGAGTTTGTTCCGATTTGGCATTTCTGTATGTTGACAGTAATGCCATGCCTTTGGAGTCGATCGAAAACAATGTCCAGATGCTTGAGATGTGATTCTCTCTCCGGACTTGCTATTAGACAGTCATCAACATACGCATGTACGAAGTTGAGACCTCGGAAGACGTCGTCTATAAACCTTTGGAAGGTTTGAGCCGCGTTTCTTAAACCAAAAGGCATTCGTAAAGACCGAAGGGAGTGATGATGGCGGTTTTAGGAATGTCGTCAGTTGCCATCGGGATTTGGTTATAAGCTTTAACCAAGTCGATTTTCGAAAAGACAGTTGTACCTTTCAAGGTAGTTGTCAAATCGTGAATATGAGGCAGCGGGCAACGATCGGGAGTGGTTTTTGCATTCAGACGCCGATAATCACCAGTTGGCCGCCAATCATTGCTGTCCTTTTTAGGGACCATGTGCAATGGGGATGACCATGGAATATTCGATGGTCGAATTATCCCTAGGTCCATCATGTGGTCGAATTCGTTTTTAGCTAACCTAAGCTTCTCGGGAGCGAGTCTTCGGGCTTTCGAAAATACAGGTGGTCCTGTAGTCGAGATGTGATGTGTAACATTGCTGGTTGCACAAGGCAATTTCGATTGCGATTGGTGTATCCCGGGGTATTTGTCGAGTACTGATTGGTACAATGGGTCTATGGTGTGCTTAATCGTGACTGGGGATAACCTGCAACCGGAACAAGGAGTTACGCAAACGGATAACTTAGTGTTTCCGTCTATTAACCTTCGTGAGCGTGTGTCGATGAGTAGATTGTGGTGTTGCAACAGGTCTATACCAATGATTAGCATAGAGACATCTGCAACCACGAAAATCCAGTGTATGGGTTTGCATAAACCCACGTTAAGGTAGACGTACCTTTTACCGTAAGTAGCGATCGGCTTTCAGTTTGCCGCCTGTAAACTTAAGACAGACTCGTGAAGTCTGTCGTCGGGATTTGCTGGAAGAACGCTAACTTCTGCGCCAGTGTCGACGAGGTAGCGAACTTTCGTAGTCACATCCGTGACATATAAGAGGCGGCTGTGTTCGCCGGCTACGGTTGCCGTTAACGCGTGCCGGCTGGGAAGTTTCCCGAAATCTTATTCGTGTCAGCCGATTTTGAAGTCGGATAATTGCAGGGTTTCCTGCAATTTCTGGAAAAATTACCGTACTGGTTATGATACCAGCACCAGTCGGGATTGTCTGTCTCTCGTAGTCGATAACCAGATCGCTTCCGTGAAACGCTTCTACGCGGGGTTTTTGACCGACTACGGTCATTGCGAACTCTAAGATATCGTGTAAGCGTGTGACATAGTTCGGCCATATCAGTCGAGGTCGATTGGGGTTTTTCTTTGATGGAAAAAACCTCGGCCTTAGAAGATCTAGTGATTTCCAAGATTCGATCGGCAGATGCAGCTAGTTCATCTATGGCATTGTTTTGAAATGAAACCAGCACTGCCTGCACCTGATGAGGGAGTTTAGACAAGAAAAGTTGTCTAAATAGGCCATCATCGAAAGTTCGTTGGCCGACGACTTCTCTCATTCTAAGCAACATGTCTGTCGCAGAACCATCTTGCAAGTCGATATTGTTAAGGAGTTGGTCTAACCGTTGTCGATCAGTTAGGTCTCCTCGTTTTGAAATCGATAGCTTAAGCGTTTCGTAAGGTTCGGGAACATCACTAGTAAACATACTAGGTGTTATGTACCTGTTAAACTCGCGCGGTAACGCCTTAACTACCGCGAGGAAACGTGTGCGCGAGTCCGTGATTCCGTGCATGTAAAAATCGGCTTCTGCATAGCAGAACCAGGACTCGATATTGTCTGGCCAAAATGGCGTTAACTGAATCGAAATAGGGGGAATAGACTTAAACTTAAGAACCTTAGGAGAGTGTTTCGTCATAGTAATATAGATAACGAAAAATGTCTAATTAAAATATATCCGGGAAAAAAATTCGCGAAAAAAAGTATATCACAATAAATAAAATTCAAATAAAGAATAACAATGAATAATAATATTCCAAAATGGAACAGACTCACAGTATATTGACTTGGTGTACCAGATCACGTCGGGTTCACCAATGAGGATGCAACGGATGTTCTAATTTTACAACTAGTTACCAGTAGCACCTTCTATGTTCGATCGTTCCCAGTCAGATAGAAATCAGAAGTCAGACGAGAAGAGGCAGGAAAAATATATTTGATTCGTTACCAATATATCGAGGATCTTTTCTATAAGCTGGCTAATGAAACGTAGAAGCTGTGTCCCACGCCGAGTTGAAACGTGATCTGGTGCGGATGCATGACCGAAAGCCTCCAGCTAAACAAGTCCACTTAAACAACGTGGTCAGCATCCAATGTCGAACACTTAATGAGCTATTGATTTTGGGGAATTATTTACAGCTACACAATCATTTACTGATTGTTTTGTCCTTCAGTTTCTAGAAGGAATATTACGCAAACCATACCCTTCTATAACCAAGAGCGGAACATAACTACTCATGTGCAGATCCAAAGTAACGAACAGAGCATTAATTCTGCCAACCAAATTTGATTTTGGGGTAACTATTGGCTGATGATATGTAACTATGGGCGAACAACAAAGGGCTTACGTTCAAGATTTCAAAGTGTGAAGTAGTCCTTTTGAGACATGTCGCGGACCATGAATACGACTTAAGTAACTCCCATGTACAGATATCTCAAGTTGAAAAAGATCTGGGAGTGTTGGTACCCCATGATCTGAAGTCTTACGCTAAGACAAAAGTGTCCACCGAGCAAATCTTTCACCGGTGACGTCGAAACACATTTCTGGCCAATTCGGCGGTAGAACTTTCCGCTTGATCTTCAATAGTTTTATTCGGTCCCATTTATAGCATGGACAAATGGTGTTACCGCCCTCACTTCAAAGGGATTAGGATACATTTGAATTTATCCAAAGATGAACCATGAAATCAGTTCGGAGAGTCAAATTCAAGCCTCCTGAGGAGTGCCCCCGATCACTTAACCCTTATTTATTAGAGAATAGACGTCTTAGAGGTGACCTAATGGCTTTCAGTATCCTTAACACTGCTGGACATCCCATCAGACACCTAATTAAGCTTAGTCCCAATACAAAACTTGGCAGTAACACCCAGAAACTGGAGACACAACATAGCGGAACGGGTTTCAGACACAGCTTCTACTCGCTAAGAGTTGTCAAATGCCGGGATTTGCTGCCGATCAAGCTAGTCCGAGAGACTTCCCAGGAGTTTTTTAAGAGAAAAAATTGACATATTCTTAAAAACTAAGGAAAGTATCTCTGTATAATTTACCGATTTATCAGTAGGGGCGGAAGCCCGTTAAGCGAAAGATTCTTCTATCCCATATAAAACCTTTTGAAACCATTTTATTCTGCAAACGCGCTTCTTACTTCTCTATGCGTTACGAATGAGTTCGCCAAAGCGACGTTGTTTCAGACAACGAAACGCAAGTGAAAGCAGTGAGGAAGATGAAATGTAAAATCTTACTAATCACTCAATCTCGTTTTTAGTATTGAGGGTGAAAAAAGTGGTGAGTCCAGTGGACTTGAAGAGTATGAGAAAGAAGAGTTAACTCGTCAAAATGATTTGAAAGAACGTGATGCCTTCGTTAAGCGCCTTGTTGACCGGGACCAGCAACAAAGTAAAGGGGTCTCTTCTAGATCCACCAGTAAGCACGAGGAAGCCTTGAGGAAGATATCTAGTGGTGAAGTAGTATGTTCAGTTATCACAAGGTTCCTTAATGTTTCTCTAGAGCCGTGAAGAAATGATTGCCGAACTGCGCAAAGAATCTAGGCGAACATATCTGCGTAAAAGACAGTCTGATAAACTTGCAGATCTTCAAGCTGAAATTCAGGATGAAGAACTGTTTTTTGAAAACGAAGAGTATGAAAGTGGATTTTCCGTACTAAATTTCTAGATTGACTGAGAACGAAAAGGCAGAACTATCATATAAGAAAACTATTTTGGCGGTCGCGAAATCCCACCAACAAGCTGGAGAACTGGAGAATATCTTTCGTTATTACATTCCCACTGAAGAAAAGGTATGTTCATCTATTTGGACTTATTATGTTATCAGCGACCAGAAGATCACGAACTAAAAGGATCTGAAAGTAAATTAATTGATGAAGGCAAGAGGTGGGAACAGGAACATCTTTCCTCTGCACTTTATTCTTTCGGTGCCAAAGACAAAGTTGAACAAGAAGTATGTTCATTGTGTTATTAATTTTCACGATTATTTTAGTTGTCACTTAGTTTTTGTCAAGTGTTATGTGCTATGCTTTATCGAAAATCTCAGTAATTTGTTTCCTTAGGTTTTGTACTACTTGGATGACGTAAACTAGGACTGAAAACACCGGGTTCTGAGTGTTTCAGCAGTCCGTACACATGTGTGTCGACAATTGTTAATCAAGATTTTTATTGCTACTGAATAGGAGAGGAAGTGTCGTAAATTTAAGTCATTCAAAACTAATCAAATCAACTCGGTAAAACATTGTTGGGTCAGTCATTATCGTCAACAATTAAAATAGAATTTATAGTGTACTCGAGAAATGTATCAATGAATGGAGTTAGGGGCACTATTATGGCTTGTTCAAACTGGTTGCCAAGTTGCTACAATTACTGTAATTATCAGTTTTTGGGTTTCCAAAAGTTATCTGTTATTTCCTAGGAACATAATTAACAGTCTTGGGGATTTTATCAAAAATAAACCCAATAGTAAAATCTCTGTGACTTAGTATCAACGGTTGGCTGTGCTTAAGTTTAGTATAAAAGTCACTATGTGATAAAACTATTTGAAGTGATAAACCCAGTCATTTCACGCTAAGTTTCATCCACATGTTAAATTCATATGTTTTATAAAGGTAGCGTATTCTAAACTAACTAAAAGCAAAACGCCGTCCCAACAAATTGATTAACCACTGAATAGTGACTAATATCATTCTTGTTTCGTCCTTAATGATAACCTGATTATACCGACCAAATTGCAGATGCGACCACTAGACTACGTGAATCGATATCTTGTGAACTGTTTTAATATTAAGTAATTAAGGGTTGTTTGGAGAATTTCCTCCCGATTACCTCCAACCACCTAACAGCATTTCTAATTTATGTTTGATATAATGGGTTCCACTCACAACTTTAGGCCGGCCGATATTTTCAAGATATAAATTGACTAGGTCTCGTTTTTTCCTAAGTTATATGCGAACTAATAAGTTTATTTAGCTTGGGATATTAGGATAATTGTAATTTTAAAGAACGAATTGTCCATCAGGAAAGTGTAAGTTGTTCGCAGTTAAATAAACTCGAAAGTTTAACACAGTTTTCTGCTAGTAAATGGAGCTTAGTTCTAGAGTACTAAAGATCATTTTACATACAATGAATATATATATATATATACAAATTTGAGTTTCAGTCACTGCTTGTTTATCCTAGTTAATTTAAGGATAAGAAGAAACTTTTTGGTAATCACGTTTTTCGTTTCTGTTACCAGAGTAGTTGGGATTTAACCACTGAATTTTTAATTACAAAGATCATGTTTAGGTCTTTTGATTACTATGGTTTTCCATAAATCTCAGCAAGCCAGAACTACGCAGATTTTGATTACCTCGACTCCATCTATTGTATTGTGTTCCATGTCCAGCAAGCGACATATTACTAAACTATAAAGACTTTTTTGGTTTTGGAAACGTAAATTTTTTGTAACATTTTCGATAAGTCGTGTAAATGCCTTTTTTCTGTCCTTCCAATATACCTGCACGTACATGTAGGTGACGTTTGACGAATTTCCGTTTACGTCTGCTTCCTTGAGCATCTCTTGTGTGTTGAAACTAATTTTGTCAATCATCACAGGGTAATATTTTCAAATGTTTGGTGGACGCGCATTTCTACACTAATAAAAGTTACTTTTAGAACAACAAAAAGTGTTTCCATTGATCAGGGGATTTTCTACATAATCACAGCTTTATTGATCACCCTTTGGTACAGATTGTGCTTCAAAGTTTAATAATAACTTAAAGCGTGGTTAGTATTCTTTGGGTTTTAGGAAGGTTACAAAGCCGGTTGGACTGTTTCTTATGTATAGTAGGGAGTGGATAAAACGACAATTTATGATCAGTTACAGAAATGCAAAATAATCACCCGCTTAAAACAAGATAGCCAAAAAAGGTTTTAGTGATAAGCATTTAGTCGGTATTTCAATCACTGACCAAATTTGTACTAAAACGAAAAACAAAAATTCAATAAAGATTTCTTTTTAAACTTGATAATTAAGTATAAATATTGCACATATTCTACAAATTATTTCTTCACAGAATTTGATTGATGATAGTGGTTATATTATAAGATAAGTGGTTTTGACAAGTGAACAAATAACAAGAACAAATAGCAAGAAGTCTGGTGTGAGTGAAACAATCTACGAGGATGACGGGATGCCAATCACTAACATCTCTCGACGTCTTGGACGATGGGCGGAATTCTTCTAAGGGCAGTTCAACTGGCCTGCTGCTCCGGCAACATCAACCAGCTTGTCCTGTCCCCCATGGCCGGTGACGACTGATCCACCAAACGACGCGGAAGTCTGCAAGGAACTCCAACTCTTGAAGCGCTACAAATCACCGGGCCCAGATGACTTACCTCAGGCTCTTTTTAAAGATGACTTTCTGGCTGAGGAACTGACTGCGTTGTTTGCAAAGGTTTGGGAGCAAGAAAGTGTTCCAACATCATGGAATGAGTCGATAGTCGTCCCTATCTTTAAAAAGGGTTCACGTTGTTCCTGCAATAACTATCGGGGGATAAGTCTACTTTCGATTGCGTCCAAACTATTGGCTTCTATCATTCTTCGTAGGTTGTTTAAAACCCGAGAACGATTGACTCGCGAGGAGCAGGCTGGTTTTCGTTCTGGTCGAGGATGCATTGATCACATCTTCACCCTCAGCCAAATGTTAGAACACCGTCATACTTATCGCAGGCCAACAATCGTAGTGTTTCTTGATATCAGGGCGGCCTTCGATTCGTTGGACAGGACTGTTCTCTGGGATTGTCTATTGTGGAAGGGTGTGCCTGAGAAGTTCATTAACATCTTAAAGGCCCTGTATACGAACACCTCAGGCAGAGTGAGGGCATACAACCACCTTTCTCCCTTGTTCCATTCGAGCAGTTGGGTTAGGCAGGGTTGCCCGATCTCACCATTCCTCTTCAACTTTGCTATCGACGACATCCTGGAAACAGCTCTGATGGATGTAAGTAATGGCGGTGTGGATATGTTGCCTGGAGAACGACTTCTCGACCTCGAGTATGCGGATGATATTGTCTTACTGTGCGATAATGCCCAAGGCATGCAATTCGCACTTAATCAGTTGGCAATCAGTGTCCGCAGGTACGGCATGTGCTTTGCACCCTCCAAGTGCAAAGTACTCCTACAAGACTGGCAGGATTCTCATCCTGTACTCACCCGGGACTGTGAGCAGATTGAAGTAGTTGAGAAGTTCGTGTATCTAGGTAGCTATATAAGTGCTGGTGGTGGCGTGAGTGATGAGATTGATGCACGTATAATGAAAGCCAGAGCGGCTTATGCCAATGTGGGCCATCTTTGGCGCCTTCGTGATGTTAGTCTGGCTGTAAAAGGTCGGATCTACAACGCGTCGGTGAGAGCAGTTTTGCTCTATGCTTGTGAAACCTGGCCTCTCCGAGTTGAGGATGTTAGACGTCTCTCTGTGTTCGATCATCGTTGTCTCCGAAGGATTTCTGACATCCAGTGGCAACACCATATTAGTAATGCAGAGGTTTGACATCGTGTGTTGGGGCGCAGGGATGATAATTCACTTGGTGTCACCATCTTGAAACACCGACTTCGGTGGCTTGGACATGCTTTACGAATGTCGTCCCAGAGACTTCCACGTCGTGCATTATTTGCCGACCCTGGGACTGGTTGGAGAAAGCGGAGAGGAGGTCAGTGTATGACATGGTGTCGTGGCATGAAAGAAAGCTGCAAAGAGCTAGCTTTTGTTGGTCCTTCATGACTCCCTGGCTGGGGTCCGAGAGATGGTGCAACACAGTGGCTAGAGACGTTATCAGATATGGCTGAGAATAGAAGCCAGTGGCGAGCCTGCTGCAACCTTCTTTTACTTTCTACATAAAGAATGGTTCTAACTTTCCTAACTGAAAGATTCTTCTGGTTGTACATTTCATCTTTTCATCCCTTCTCTTGCTACTTTCATTATTTTGTGTGGCGCATATGTATCTGGTGCCCTTTTGTACCAATATATATGTGTTTAAATAAATCAAGTTACTAAATTGACTGGTGTAGTAAAAGTCAATAAATAGAATGTAAATATAAAATGAAAGTAAAAACAAGGATATGTTATGAGGAGAAAATGATGCCTTATATGGTAACGAAATGTGCGATAATCAATTTTGGCGTCTAATCTTTGATATACAAATAAGTGATTATATTTTGTTTTGAATTCCTTATCAATCACTCAGTTTCGAATCATGAATAGTGAAAGTAAATTAGCTTTCATAAGAAAACTATTATTAGAGTCAAATATGTTCACATGAGATCAGAAATTTGATGTATCTATCGAGAAGTAAATATACTGAGCATTCTGCTTTGCTTTGTGATTGTGGAGTTTTGAAGTAAAATACACAGACATAGACATATGAGGGTTAACGACATATGGTGTGACTCATACAGCATTAGTTTTAGATAGTATTCTTGTTAATGAGTTTGTGGACCTTCATCGGCTGAGGGGTTTGAGATGTGTTATGCATGTCCAGTAATGTCTTACACAGATATGCTATACTGGCTAGTGTAAGATTAAGCAGGAAAAAGGCTCGGAAACAGCAAGATCAAAATGCAGCTTCAGTTTATGAAATTGTTAACTACTTGATTGATTTTATTGAGGTCCTTAGAATATACATAGTTTGTGACTGGCGACATAGATCAAAGTCATTTAGCAGTTTCTTAGATGTTTTTGCCCATTAACCTCTAAATTTTGAGTCTTAATAATACTTCATACTTCACATTTTTCGCTCACTAATCGTTCTCAAACTGTGTCCCGTGTATTATCTTTTATTACGACTAATACGATCACTTAGACTCATTTGCTCTTTATTTGATTCGTTTTTCCTCGACTTAGTGATGTAAAGTGTGGTAAGTTGAACTGATACATATTTTTGATAAATCTTAAGTTAATAATGCCTGATGTAACTTGGAAATTGTATCAAAATTAATTGAAGTGGTTACGGTGTAATTAACTTTATTATTGTTGTTTTAAACTTTTTAATTTGCCCATAGTAACAAATGAGCGTGTTTTGGTGTTTTTAGGTGAAATACGATCTTGTTTTGGATGATGAAATAGAGTTTTTAAAAACACTAACTCGACCTGGTGCCAACATTGAACAAGAAGTCAGTGCAGACGAAGAGCAAAAACGAAAAGCTACTAACAGACGTGAAGCCCTCCAGGAAGCGAAACGCTCTCTTCCGATCTATAAATTTCGGGATGCTCTTTTACAAGCTATTGCTGATCATCAGGTTTTAATCATAGAAGGTGAAACAGGTTCTGGTAAAACAACTCAAATTCCTCAGTATTTGTACGAAGCGGTATGCTTACCATAACATCTTTAATTACTTATAGTTTACTCATCATTCATATTTGTTTTGTTTTTGAAGGAAAAGTGTTTTACTCTGAATGGCGTACTAATTCATCCTGGTATTTCATCGAGTCACTCAAAGCTAGTCAGAATAAGCATCAAAATTAATGTGTGGTAAAATAAATAATAATATAAATAAATTTAAAATAGGTGTTCACTTGAAGCTAAACAACTCTAATACTCCATAAAATAGTAAGATAACCATGTATTTGTAATATCCCAATGAGTATAAGATCGAATTTATAACTCATTGTTGTATTGGTTGTTTGAATCCTTCCATTAATGTTTAGGACTGTAATCGATCAGTCTCTTGTTGGCGTATGTACATCTTGTGCGGATAGCCTCGATATTGCTTTAAGTTACAAGTATTATGAGTAAAAATGGATGGTGGCTAGCAATGTAATCCAGGACGCGCGTTTCGTCCCATTTGGGATTAGTCAGTTGGAGGTGCCTGCATTCCAAAGTTTATGTTCGCCCCAGTACTCGAATCCATTACCCTTTGCTCCAAATGCCATCCCGTTATCGACTTAGCTACCGGGTCCAGAGAGAGATTGATTAGTCTTAGTCCTAAACATTTATGGGAAGATTCAAACAACCGATTTGACAGGCTACTGGCTATCAGGACTCTAGCTTTGTGGATAACGCGAGCCACCGAATGACCTGCTATGGTCGAGAGTGTGGAGAGTCCGCTCTCCCTCTCGAAATGCTCTCACATGGCCACGCGAATATATAGCCTCTGCCAGGGAAGTCCTACTCACTGCCTTCTCGTGGCGAGGGTGTTGTTTACGAAAGTGAGAGGACGAAAAGCGAATGTCCGGCGCTTTAACCGGGTTGGTGGACATGGAGGGTCCACCTAAGAGGAGTTGGAAAACCCTGATTCCAAACCAATGGTGCACATGGGCCCCAGTATCCTGTGGAGCGAATGGCGTATGAACCTATTGTTGGTCACCGGCTACCATGGGACTGCATCTCCTCACGATGCTCCACTGCCTTGTGGATCATACTTTTAGGTCAAAGGCTCGAGGTGTGGCCCCCTAAGAAAACCACCTGCTTCAGTCTGGGCACTTGGGCAGTATCTCAGCTCTCACACAAATCGAGTGAGATTTGTGAGGCGCATATTTATCTGGTTTTTCCTTGTACCAATATTTATATGTTTAAATAATAATAATAATAACGCGATGCTGCCTTCCCACAAGGAGGGGAAACTACACATTGGAGCCTTCAACGTACGTACCCTATGCCAAATCAGTCAACAGGCCTCCTTGGCTGAGACCCTAGAATCTCGTACCATCGATGTATGCTGTGTCTCCGAAACACGCATACAGGATCCCAGTGTGGTCATTCACTTGACCTCACCTCGCAAAAATGGACAGCCAACGAAATACACCCTCGTGTATCTGGCGTCCCGTTGGCTAGCTCTCGTGGACTTGCAGGTGTAGGCATAGCACTTAGTACGAGGGCAGAACAAGCACTACTAGAATGGATCCCCGTTAACAGTGGTCTGTGTGCTGTCCGGCCAAATGGCTTCGGAAGGATAGGAACACATGTCGTTGCCTTTTCGTTGTTTCTGCCTACGCTCCCACTGACTGCAGTCATGATGTAGTGAAAGATGACTTTTACAGAAAGCTCTTTGAGCTTCTTCAGAAAGCTAAGCGCTCAGACATAGTACTCATAGCGGGTGACTTTAATGTCCAGGTAGGCAGCTTAAATCAAACAGAAAGACATTTAGGTGGGTGTTTTAGTATTCCGGCTCAACGAACCGATAATGGTGATCGTCTATTGCAACTATGCTCAGACAATCGTTTATTTTTAGCAAGCACTAATTTTAAACATAAGGAGAGACATCGTCTAACATGGCGACCACCTGCACCAAACCAACGATGGACTCAAATAGACCATATTGTCATCAGTCATCGTTGGAGAGGCTCAATAGAAGATTGTCGCTCGTATTGGAATACTTGTTTAGACTCTGATCACGCTTTAATACGAGCGCGCATTTGTCTGCGCCTCAATGGACGCAGGAAAAGTACACTAAGAAGACCCATTAGGATTGAACTGGAGGACGAGAAAGCCAAATGCGAATTCCAGAAACAACTGAGTTCACATCTAGGCAGTTCTGTAAACAAGACTGACACAGATGCTGCTTGGAAAGACATACGAACAGCTGTGGAAACAGCAGTATTAGTTGATTAAACCATAGGGCTCCAAAAAACCAGTGGATTTCTTCTAAGTCTATTTCACTGATGGATTCGCGTAAATTCATCCCATCAGGCTCTGAACACGACGAAGAGCGTAAACAAATTAGATCTAGTTAGCAGATATGGATAATGGCTAGCAGTGGAATCCAGGACGCGCGTTTCGTCCTATTTGGGACTCGTCAGCTGGATGTACCTGCATCTCAGAGTTGATGTTCACTCTGGGATTCGAACCCAGTACCCTAGCTTCAAACGCCATTGCGTTATCCACTCGGCCACTGAGTCCTGATAGTCACTTGCTTGCGCGATGGGGTGAAGTTTAAAGTCAACTTAGTATTGTTTGTTTGAATCTTCCCATCGATTTGTTAGGACTGCAACTGGTCAGTCTCTAATTGGCATATGTGCATACTGTGCGTATTGCCTCGATATACCTTAATTCGCAAGCATGGTTAGCAGAGATGGATAGTGGCTAGCTAACCATGCTTGTGAATTAAGGTATATCGAGGCAATACGCACAATATGCACATATGCCAATTAGAGACTGACCAGTTGCAGTCCTAACAAATCGATGGGAAGATTCAAACAAACAATACTAAGTTGAAATTAGATCTAGGTTAACTAAAAGTCTAAGGAACGATCGTGAGCAGTGGTGGGCAACGAAAGCAAAAGAGATGGGAAAGACAGCGGCTGTAGGCAACACCAGGCAACTCTTCAGACTAACAAAACAAACCGGAATTAAGAAGTCAAGTGTAAGTGAGACAATCTCGGAAAAAGACGAAACCCTTATCTGCTCTCAACCCAAACGTTTAGAACGATGGGCGGAACACTTTAAGGAGCAGTTTAGCTGGTCTTCAGCTACTGCACAACTACCCACTATTCCCAGAAAACCTGAATGGAACATTGAAGTAGGCCTCCCGACCCTACTTGAAGTTCAAAAGGCTATAGGTAATCTGAAACGAGGAAGAGCAGCTGGTCCTGATGGATTGGCTCCAGAGGTCTGTCTAACATAGCATCTAAAATACTAGCCTCAATAATTATCGGGCGCCTAACTAAGACTCGTGAACTGCAAACACGAGAAAATCAGGCTGGTTTCAGACTTGGTCGTGGCTGTATCGACCACATATTCACCATTCGTCAAGTTTTAGAGCACAGACACGCTTATCGGCGTCCGACAAGGATAGTTTTTCTCGACTTGAAAGCAGCATTTGACTCTATAGACCAAGAGGTTCTGTGGCAGTGTCTGTCATTGAAAGGTGTACCTGAGAAGTACATAAACCTTGTGAAGGCTCTTTACTCGAACACTACCAGTCGAGTGAGAGCTTATGGCGAACTGTCATATGATTTTACAGCCTCAAGTGGTGTCCGTCAAGGCTGTCCACTATCCCCATTTTTGTTTAACTTCATTATAGACCTGTTGCTGGAAATAACACTCTCATCGACTGAATTTTCAGGAATTGATCTCCTATCAGGGGGACCACTAAGCGACTTAGAATACGCAGATGACATAGTCCTGTTTGGTGAAGACACTGACAAAATGCAGAGTCTTCTGTTGGAACTCAGTAATAATGCCAGGATGTTTGAGATGCGTTTCTCCCCATCCAAATGTAAATTGTTACTCCAGGACTGGCCTGCGTCAACACCCGAACTAAGGATAGGGAGTGAAGTAGTCGAACGCGTGGACAACTTAATTTATCTTGGAAGTCTGATCAGCCCTAATGGGTTGGTGTCTGACGAAATCTCAGCACGGATTCGAAAAGCTCGTTCGGCTTTTGCCAACTTACGTCACCTATGGCGTAGACGAGATATCCGTCTATCAATTATGGGACGAGTATACTGCGCAGCAGTTCGTTCTGTTCTACTTTACGGCTGTGAAACATGGCCATTAAGAGTAGAAGATACTCGTAGGTTACTAGTATTTGACCACAGATGCCTTAGAAATATTGCTCGCATCTGCTGGGATCACCGGGTAAGTAATAGTGAGGTTAGACGCAGGGTATTAGGGAATGATGGTAAATCAGTTGATGAGGTCATGAGTCTTCATCGACTGAGATGGTTGGGCCACGTGTTACGTATGCCTGAACACCGATTACCACGACGCGCAATGCTGACTAGTATTGGGGATGGTTGGAAAAGAGTTAGGGGCGGCCAAACCAAAACTTGGCATCAGTGCTTGAAGTCAATAACTTCTAGTCTGAGCCATGTTGGTAGATGCAGACTACCTGGTTGGGGTCCGCGTGACTATCGTAACCAATGGTTGGAGACTCTAGGTGACATGGCTCAGAATCTATCACAATGACGTAGGTGTATACACTCTTTATCTTCCCTTAAACCTTGAGATTCAAATTGCTTCATAACTTTTTTCCTTCCTATACTATATCCTTATATACAACCTATAATTTATACACTACCACCACCACTAAATTAACTACTATGAATCCGGTGTTGATCTTGTTGTGCTAACGAGGTATGGCAACTTGGACCGATGCATATGTATGTCTGGTCCTACGTTGTAGCTGACTGACTGACTGAATAACGCGATTGTGTTTAAAGTAAACGGTACTGGGTTGATGTTCTTAAGCAAACGTCAACTCTGGAATGCAGGTACATCCAACTGACGAACCCCAAACGGGGAGAAACGCGCGTCCTGGATTCCACTGCTAGCCACCGTCATCTTTGAGTTTCTAACGTTTTGCGACTTGGTGTAAGTTGATGTTTCTGCAAATAAATGAAATCGAAAAGAAAAATAAGACCAAAAACTGACAAGCTATAATTCTATATCTTTATGCACTAGTATTCCAGTTGATAGATGCCTACACCTTACCTATAGGCTTACTGCAGATTGATAATACTATATCTAGCAGATATCCCTTAAGGATTAGTTTAATTTCAAAATTCCTCAAACTGTGGTTGAATTCAACCTCATTCACTGTATGTAAGGAAAACAGAAGATACTAAGCCTTCTCCGTTATGTCACATACTTTTCCCAGTTCTGTCAAATCTTGTATTTGACTCAAATATGTAGGTGAAATTTTTGTTATCATTAAAAAAAGATATTAAGAAACTTTCGTAAACTGATAAGTACTTTCTCGGCACATAATAAATTCACTTTTGGAATCAAAAGTAAATAGTAGACTACAACTTTCAAACTATTTAGCTAAGAGTAATACTATAGCAACCATCCTATAATCAATTCCGATTATAGTCAATTTTGGTTAAGCCCTTTTTATTAACTTACTTAACAGACATCGTCATTTGGATAGTAACAATTTGCATATTCTTTGCACTGCTATACCACTAGAGCACATGACACTATCCGAAATGTTGACTGGTTAAATATCATTCGATGACTCATACTCCTCCCCATATGTGTACTCACGCAAATATTATTATCAGCCTTTGTTTTGTTTTGCTGTGCCCTTATTAAATCTGACTATAAATTGCCTATGTAATTGCTTGCTATTCGCTCGCTTGCTCCTCGTCCGTTTCCTTCGCTTGTTTGCCTGTTCACTCGCTCACTCGCTCGTTCATATTCGCTCAGGTGTTGTTAACTTTCTGACCTGAGTTATTCGACAATAAACTGTAGTTGCTGCTATCCTTTGTCTTCTGATTTTACGCACCGTTGAGATTAGAATTATAACGGTTATCGAAGTAAACGATCAACGAATCGCAGCACTACAATACAAATAGAATTATAAGTCTAACCGTCTACTTTAACCCAATACATTTCAATCCATCCTGACATAAATTTCAATTCTGTACACCCCTCCAGTGCAGAAAATTTCCCTGGTTCTAAGTTTATTCAGGTGAGCTAAGAAATTGTATCAAAGAGAGATAAATACAAGGAACATTATTATACAATAATCATCTTACCATTTAATAGTTTCCCTATGAATATTATTGGAAATGTACTGGAAACGAAATAAATCTGATTGAATTGTGTAAATTAGATCAAGGAACCAACCTCTGCTATGTGCAAGTTTCTTGTCCGTCTTCTCATCGAACTTATTTGTCTTATGCTGAGAATGTTAGGTCCCCATAACTCTTATTTTTGTAATTTCACTTTAAAAATTTGAATTTCTTGTTTTCGCACCAAAAGCGCACGTTTTCACCTTCATGTCATATTTCCCACTTGGTTCGTGGTATCTTTTAGTATGCTATTTGTAGCACTTCTCAAGGACAATTTTATGCTTTATATATGCGTTTGATTTGTACCTGTTGTGATTGCTTGTGCTTCGGGCTGCTTGCGGAATATATTTTCCCCAGTTCGAATTTGGACTTCTTACTCTAGTTAGCGGGGCTAGGACGCGTCAGAATAGCTAGCTTACTGGTCTTTGGTCACAAGTCTTCGTTCCGTTCGCAGACTAGGTGAACTCGTAATCGCTTCAAACATAACATCTTATCTTGTGAATAATATCAAATAAGGATTCTGATTTAGATAGATGACCAGAATTGAATAAATGTTCAACGATCGAGCTATTAATTGATTTATGCTATATGTAAAGAAAATAACGTTAAATAGGATTGTACACCTCTAGTAAATAACATCTTCGGAAGGAATTTTTGCTGAAACGTCTTCATGTTGTGTAATGACTTAATATTTTTCGAAATATATTTGTCGTGTAATATTTTCAATGCTTTGAGGTATATATTGGAATTTGTCTTCGTTTTTTGGTGTGTTATGTTATTAAAAATTAAGTTCTTGATGTATTTCCCCATGCTTTTTTTGTAAGATGTTACTCAACCATAAGTCGTCATGTTTAGTAGCACTATACTGAGCATGGACAATTGTCTACTTAACAAAAAAGGATTGTTGCAACATTCAAAGTTTGTCCTACAACCTTTCATTCAATACCTTTAAATTGATAGTGTAATCTTGATGTAAATACTTTAACAATAATACTAATGATTTATGTCTATCAAAACATTTTGTTCTTCAATAGGGTTATTGTAATGGAGGAAAACGTATTGGGTGTACACAACCACGTCGTGTTGCTGCCATGTCAGTAGCTGCTCGAGTTTCACAAGAAATGTCTGTTAGACTTGGATCTGAAGTGGGATATAGTATTCGTTTTGAAGATTGCACTTCAGAACATACAGTAATAAAGTACATGACAGATGGTATGCTTTTGCGTGAATTTCTCACAGAACCAGATTTGGGCAGTTATTCAGTAATGATTATAGACGAAGCACATGAACGTACACTACATACGGATATACTATTCGGTTTAGTAAAGGTAAATTATTATTAAGTAAATCATTTTCTTCTTTTTTATCATGCAGACAAGCAGTTGCAATCAAACTTCTAACCTATCATCTAGTTGCTAGTATTCAAGGTCTTATAATACTTTCTAACTTTACATAAAAGTACATTATAGATATTTAATTGATCAATTCGTTGCTTAGAAGTTAAAATGTATATATCGTTAAGACGTAGGAAATCACTTTTTACCCTACTTTATAATGAATTCTAACCAAATGAAATGAAACAACCACTCAATTTTTTCCTTTATTCAACTACTTTTTTGTTAAATGTTCATCAATTTTTATTCGGCAAATTATTTATCAACCTTTATGTAATACATTATGCGACTACTAAATTAGCCAGTTTGTAATAAGAGGAGCGCAATTTTGAATATCATCCAAGAAAGTATTGTTACATTTGTAAATACATATCTGGATAGATCTATCTTTTTAATTAGAATAAGATGGTTTTACATTAAATTTTATTTTTAAAAAAAATCTCTTAATTTCATACTACTCATATAAGTGTATTTCAAAGGACAAAAAGAATCAAAGTATCATTGAATTATACCCCAACTTATCTAGTTAATATAACTTCTCAAGCAACTTTTTCATCACTAATCTGATCGAATAAGTTCTAATCATATTTATTTTGTATTATGAATTAAAGCGTAAAACATTACTTACAAAACTTTAAAAGTAAAAACTTTCTCTATTCGCAATTAGGTCCAGTTTATTTAACTATGAAAATTTACTATATTTAGTAACAAATTAACGTTTCTTTCAAGTTTTTTTTCATTACTAATTCATCATAACATTCTATACACATTATGTTTAGGCATTATTATCTCTATTGTATCATAGTGATAGGCTAATGTTCTAACAGGAGTGAATTGTTGATATTATTTACTTTATATTGGCTTATTATTACAGTTATCTACATATATATGATTGATACATCAAGTTAACTTGAAATATACACCTGTATTGAATTTTCTTAGTAATAACTGTTAACGTAAGTGTTGAACTATTCACAGAATACAGTCTTACTCATTAACAGATATCTATATTAATTCGATCCAAAAGATTCACTTGATTAATTATGTAAAAGTAACACCTGAAGAAAAACTCACAACTATTCAAGTAACCAATTTTTTAGGCACATGCAATTTAACATGAATATTTGATCTTTTTTTCTATTCACAAAAACATTGTCTATTCAACATATTTGTTTTTTAAAATAATCTAATTTTTTAAGGATGTAGCTCGTTTTCGATCCGATTTGAAACTTCTAATTAGTTCTGCTACTTTAGATGCAGAAAAATTTGCTACATTTTTTGATGATGCTCCTGTATTCCGAATCCCAGGTCGTCGTTATCCAGTTGATATCTACTATACAAAAGTGGGTTTTGCGATAGTTTGTTTGATATTATAAATCTTTAGTCTTTTTGAATATTTCAATGTATTTACTAAAATGATCAGTCTTCATTTTATTTTGTGAAGTTTTTTTAAACTTCAAATATCTTCAAAAAATTGATCACTGTTAAATTATTTTGTCTATAACAGTCTAGTTTATTTATCAATAATATCTTTAGCCTTGATATGTAACTTTTATGGTAGTTTGTTTTTGACGGCTTAGTGTCATGTTCTGCTTCGTGGTGCCGATCAATCAATAACTTAGTGGTTAAACCAGTAGGTCAGAAGTTCGAGCTCTTCTGCACCTAATTCGGTTTAGATGGTTGGATAACATCGATATCCCTCTTATAAGTTGTGCAACTCAAGCTGACTATTTAAACCTGTGATTGGTAGATGAGTTACAAACGTTATGCATTTCCTTAATTCAACCAAGTAGGTTGAACGTTTAACGAATAATCAATTTAATTCATTTATCGGGTACACCTTCGTGTACCTGCGTTTAACCACATTCTAAGCGTAGGGGATAGCAGTGTTATCCGATTATCCAAACCGAGGTATATAGAACGGGATTTAAACGTGCAACTTTGCGAGTCCGGTTAAACACGTGTTTTATCGCAAAAAGTTTTTAAAAAAATATTTTTTACCTCCTTACTTTAAAAGCCTTACCACCGGAAATGGAAATCCATGGGGTTAAGTGAGGTGTGACATTTTTAAGGCCGATCTCTAATCTCTTCGTTGTGAGACAGCATCGCTGTAGGTGCTGGCTGTCCGAGGAAAAGGCTGTAACACAGTTACACCTCAGTATAGTCAGCAATACGGCTTTGACCTTGAACTTTAAGTTGCTACTTTTAGTTTGACTGTCTGTCTATTGTTTTTGAAAAATTATGCTAATCCTTATTGGATTATAGATATTTTCTGTGTTTTATTGGGTTTTACTTTTTAGGCTCCAGAAGCTGATTATATTGAAGCTGCTATCATATCTATTCTTCAAATACATGTAACTCAACCCCCAGGTGATATTCTAGTATTTTTAACTGGTCAAGAAGAAATTGAAACTGCTAATGAATTATTAATGGAGCGTACAAGAAAACTTGGGAGTAAAATTCGTGAATTAATAATTCTACCTATTTATTCTAGTCTTCCATCTGATATGCAGGTATATATATACGTGTTTTTAATTACTACGTTATTTTTTCACTTTTGATGGGTTTATATTTTTAGTAGGTTTCGTTTTTCGAAGTAAAATTGATTACAAGATGAAAAACAAATTACTTCATTTTACGTCCATGTAGGTATACACTTGCGTTATAAAACAAAGTCTATGGGTAGTTTATTTCTTGAGCTATTGAATTATTGGTGTGGTAGCTTAAGGTTTAAGTATTATTTGTCGAAATTTTGTATACTTTTTCACGTAATTCCTCGGGTCCACTTCAGAGATGTTAATTTCCGCGAGATTTTTGTTAATTTATTTATATTTGTTTCAAAAGTCACCACTGAACTTCCGAAATGTATTTGCTCTAACAGTCTCTCAAGAACTGGAGGGGCTCATATCAACCCAGTTACCTTATTTAAAAAGCATCTGATCGATATGCTAATAACTTCCTAGCTGCTTTATAGATCTTCAGGACTCTCCCAAACTTGAACCCCGTACAGAACGGAATAAGTATAAAGTGGGAAAAGATTACCTACTGTGAGGTTAGGTAATGTACAGAAAGCAAGCGTATTCATAAAGTTACTGCTAACCTTTAACCTATGGAAACTTCTCCAAGCATGGTAAATTAAGTAATAGAGTAAGTGATCACTCAATCAGAGTGTGTCGCGTAATCCACCAATTTTCTAAGTTTTTTGGCATTTACTAGTTGGACAAAATGCTTTAAGCCTTTACCCTAGCTTCTGAAGACCTTATCAAGGAATTCTCTGAGGGATCCGAGAAGCATCGCGTCGACAAACCACCAATCAGTCAGTTTTTATCTCTATATTTGTCTACAAAGTTGCCTATTATTTATTTAACAAGAAAGCTGATAATATTTCTTATCAGTACATATTAAGACGACCGATTTGACGGTTCTAAAAGTTCTGCAATATTCATTGGAAATGGATATTCCAAAGACCATTTGGAGAATTGATTTTCTTTTGTGAATTGGCTACTACTGTACTCTTTAACCTTAAACTCAATTTACCAACTAGAAGTGAGAAAAATTGTTCGGCTGGAATTAATATCGACCAACTTAGGTGATCATCAGATATTGATTTTGAAACACTAGGGATACAATTACTTTTAGAACATGTTATTATCCTAATTGTCAAAAAATGTAATGTTCACTTTGTGTTTATGTTTAGCTGGTTGTCTCGCGTAACATTTATAATCTCTTTGGTGTATATATTTATTTCGAAAAATCTAAAACGATTGGGATTTTCTCAAATTATCTATCTTTGTCATCTTTTGTTGGAAGATAGTTACATTGCGATTATATTAATCTTTGATTAGAGTCCTACTAAACATGTTTAATTCACACTGAAAAATATCTAGTCTAGTCTACGGTCTTTATAACATGAAATCGAAGTATGGCTTTTCTGCATAGAATAATTCTAGGTTCTTTTCGATTATTTAACATTCTTCGCTATAGAGCTTGTTCAATCTAATCTTTGTGGTAAGTAGTAATGGGACGAGGGGAATCAAAGGCGAATGTATATATATCAGAGTAAATTCTGCTTTCAGTTCTGATTCAATTGACGAATCACACTTTTGTATTCGTCACAGTTAAAATAACTCATAATATGACTGGGAAAACAAATCCACCAATCAGATTGTAATTCATATACTATTTTTATTGGCCAGTTAGTTTTTAACTTTAAAGATAAGGCAAGCAAGTGGTTGTTTTTCTGTCATTAGCGAACATTTAGAATTCGCAATAGTTATACAAAAACTATGGCAAGAAATCTTTAACTTAGAAAACCTTTTTTATGTGGTTTTGTTTATTGGTCAAATGCAACTGTTTGTTTGTTTGTGTTTTATTAAATGAAAAATAGGGAATTGACTAAATACATTAAACAGCTTAAAGTTTGATGTAATTTTCTTATCATCTCTAAATTACCAGGCGAAAATTTTTGCACCGACACCACCAGGTGCTCGAAAAGTTGTATTAGCTACAAATATCGCTGAAACATCACTTACAATCGATGGTATTATTTATGTGATTGATACTGGATTTTGTAAACAAAAATTTTATAGTGCACGCTCTGGTGTTGAATCATTAATAGTCGTTCCAATATCACAAGCTGCAGCCGATCAAAGAGCTGGACGGTGAGTGACTTTTAATGGTTGATTTATTTTTGTTTCGCATGTGTGGGGCTGGCTAGTAAGTAGTTTGATATTTCTAAAATTTAAGTATTTAGATATTCGAGGAATCAACTCGATTATGTAAGTTCTCATTAACACTTTTTCCTTAATCCATGCACTTGATTATTTCATTCCTTTCATAAATAAATTAGGTATTAACCTATTATAATTTTGTTCATAGACGCAGTATCGGTGTTCAAAGCATTTATTAGTTGCTAGATGAAAATATTTCAAAAAATCTATGAAACAGAAGTAAAAGTAATCTCAGAGTTTAACATTTTTTTCTTTTTCTTTTAATAGTAGTAGTAATAGTAGTTTCGAGAAACATTCAGAATTGCTCGAACATTTAATACCAAAAGCATTGATGCCACTTAGTGTTCAAAGAGCAATACTGTTAAAATAACTCGAATGTGTTTACTTACATTATTTGATCCACATTTATCAACATTTGGTCAACATAATATGTACATTCTTATGCTGCGATATACTTGTGTACATCAACTCTCAGATTTCATCCGTCAAATCCTTTCTGGAAATCGTTTTTCAAAATTTATTTAATAACTTCAGAATGTAGCTCACAATAAAGGTGTTAGAGGTGTTGTTGTTTCTGAGCCGGATAATTAGTTTGCTAAGCTTTCATTGTTCTTCTAAATAATATTATGAGCAAGTAATTCAAAGATGTGGGGTATTAGAATTTCTTTGCAATTAACTAACAGCTTGTTTTGTTGACTAAATACCAGGTCATTTCTCTTTGAAGTGTGTGCTGATGATTTTTTTCAGAGGAACAATGAAAGATTCACAATCTAACCATCCAGCTCAGAGACCACAACATTAACTTAATTCATTTGGAAAATCTAGTCATGAGATTTTGTTTATTTCATTTGTAAACAGCTCAAATATTTTGAATAATAGGATCAATTACATTTTCTTGTTTATATGTTTATACATATATAATATAGCGCTGGACGTGTAGCCGCAGGCAAATGTTTTCGTCTATACACTTCACATGCTTATCATACAGAATTAGATCCACAACCTATTCCAGAAATACAACGTACAAATTTAGGCAATGTTGTCTTATTACTTAAATCTCTTGGTATTGATGATCTGCTACATTTTGACTATATGGATCCCCCACCACATGATGCTTTAATTATGGCATTAGAACAATTATACGCCTTGGGTGCATTAAATCATAAAGGTGAACTAACTAAAATGGGTCGCCAAATGGCTGAATTCCCATGTAATCCACAATTATCAAAAATGATTTTAGCTTCAGATAAGTAAGTTTTCGTTTAAAATGTTTAGATAGTATATACATTTTTCCGCGAATTATCTCGTAAGAGTTTTATGGTGCTAGATGTCCAACTATTTTTATTGAATGTAAGATCCTGATGGAATAAATCGTCTACATGTTTATGCACATCGTTGGTTTTCATTGGATTTCCGTAACTGTCTTTTCTTCTACTGTTTTACAGGTCCATATTTTAAGTTGAATGTTTTAGAAATGTATATTTTTGTTCTCACCAAAGCCATGTTTCCTAATTATTAATTAATTTACAACAAAAACAGGTGGATATTTAAATAAAAACCAACTGTTTGCTTATCTTCATCTTGTAAACTATAATAATAATGGTTTATTTATGTGTATTTGGGTGACTAGATGTAGGAAGGATTATTGTATTGGATTTACTTACGTACGACTGTTGTCCCTCGTGAATCATAGGCTGCCGACCAGGAATCACCACTTAACTCTGTCCTGGGTTCTTCTTTCCAGTTGTTCCAAGTGTTATTCCTTATATTGATTGCTCCCTCCAATTCCTTGTGTAATGTGTTCTTTGGCCTGCCTCTTCTCTTCTTACTTTTAGGATTCCAAGTTAGGACATGCTTTGTGAGGCAGGTTGATGATTTCCACAATATGTCCCCTATCCACGTACAACCGAAACAGATTTAATTAGTAAATAATAGGTTCGCAATCTTACAAGTGATTAGTAAACACTTCTCTGGTTTCATTAATGTGTAACCCAAGAATAAACCCCCTTAATATTTTATTACTAACCAATTAACAATTTTCTAGTCGTCGGTAATTTGATGTAATAATCACTTGCAGTTTTATTCACGCCCAGTTAACTTACACAAATCTCTTTTTGTAGACTAGTATTTTGATTACCGGAAGAAATGATTATTTGTATATACACTATGATATAATTGGAAACCAGATAGTGTTTTGAATACAACCACATTATATTGAAAGTTAATGTTAGTCAAAAGTAGGCTATGATCTTTGAAAAAGTTAATTGATATCTGTAGCTAACATGCAACCATCTGTCAACTAAAGCACTCTTTTCCATTCATGAATTAGCGAACTCCACAATCATGTTTACATCTAACATCATAGCGTTTGTTGTGTTCTTTCCGTTTAATGTTAAAAATCTCACTTTGTTACTTTTAAATGTAGTTTAAAATAACAAAGAACCATTAACTCTTTGTCACTTGGTTTTTTTACGTTAAGGGTAACACGCTGAAACAATGTGTATTGTATAAAATTTTCTGTATTTAATTATTGATAGTATAATTAAAGTATTCTTCATGATGTATTTTTATGATTTATGTCAGGTTTGTATTACTATCAGAACGACCAAAGAAAGTCGATAATTTTTCTTAAATGTGATCATTGTTTGAACATCTGATCTAAAATACATATAGTCTACGGTGGACTGCTGTAAAAGAGAGATACGTCATTATGATAGCCGATGCACAAAATATGTGTATACACTAGTTGTTTCTTCATTTTCATTTTTGATGAGTAGAACTTTCCTTGTATATATACACATTATATTTGCTAGACCGTATGTAAATATTCTCAGAAGGATCGTTATTCTATTATATATACGTTACATCATCAATTAATTGTTCAGTCAATCCTATTTACAAAGCTTACAAATGTATTCATCTGCAATATGTTTATTTATTTAACATGTAGTTTAGTAAACTTTTGGTGGGGAATCGTCAGTTTCAAGTTCTCAAATATTATTACACTTAAATTTTTTACCTACCTCAAAATCTAATTTTATTTACTTATTTAAACGTATAAACAGTGGTTCAAGAAGGCGCCAAATGTATATGCGCCACACTCCGTCATCCGATTTGTGTAAAGTCTGGAATACTTCCCGGTTGCCCAAACCAAAGTAGGTGGTTTCCTTAGGGGGCCAATCCCTGAGCCTTTGACCTAGGAGTGTAGTCTACAAGACTGGAGCAACGTGAGAAAATGCAGTCCCATGGTAACCTGTGACCAACAAAAGGTTCATACACCAATTGTTCCGATCAGGATCCTGAAGCCCATGTACACGATTGGTTTTAAATGAGGGTTTTCCAATTCCTCTAGGTGGTTCCTCTATATCCACCAACCGAGTTAAAGCTCTGAGTATTCGTTTTTCGTCTTCTCAACTTCATAAACAACACCATCGCGATAAGGCAAAGTACTTACACTGAAACATATCTGTTATAGCTTGATTATCTCTTTGTGTAATGTACAAATTACGTTTTCTTTTCTCTCCTAATAAAGGTATAAATGTTCCGGAGATATTATCACTATAGCATCAATGCTTTCTGTAAATAATGCCATATTCTATAGACCGAAAGATAAATTAATTCATGCAGATACTGCACGTAAAAGTTTTTTTCATATAGCCGGTGATCATATTATGCTACTGAATGTTTATAATCAGTGGGCGGAATCGGGTAAGCTTTCAGTCCTCACAATTTAATATCGAGTAATTAAATTAAATTAATTTCATAAGTATGGTGTATTCGGCGTTATATTAGATATGAAGGGAATTGATAAACAGGTATTTACTCATTCTTCTTTCTTGTTATGATTTATTAACACAAAACCTTTTAATTCAACGGTAAGTCTTACTAGAGTTATTTTCTATCATTAATGACTGGCCACTAAAGAGAACTTAAATAAAAATGTATATCACATTATTTGGCTTTGTTATTGCTTCATCAAGGTGGGTGTAGTTGGTGTTTGATTAATTACTGAACTGTCAACCAGTAATTAAGGGCCTAAAAGTCTTCTCATCTACCTAGATTTAAACAGTCTGCGACTGTTAGTACTACTCCTACAATAGGTAGCGATCATTGTTTCAGACTAACCTCTCCATACATTTCCTGAGTTAGATATTCTTTCATTTATTGCTTAGTATGTTATACTGATAGACTGTACATTTATGCTACTAATGTTTACAACATCTTTATTGGTAAAGTTAAACGTATATGAGTTTAACACATTTGTTGTCAATTAATTATCCTTAGTCATAGGAAATAATTACTTTGGAGTAAAAAATTGGGTTTTTTTTACAAATTATTACCTTGTCAATAATAAATAGTCTTTTATGAACTTCGCTAGTAAACCTGAACTTGTTGAAATTCTTTATTACACATCTTTACTTTAAAATTAGAAAGGTAGTATAATGAGTAAGTTAAGTGCAAACTCCTTGTTGCCCCCAAATGCCCTGGTACGGCCGAGAGTGGGGAGAGTCACCTCTCCCTCTCGAAATGCTCTCATATGGCCAGCGAATATATAGCCTCTGCCAGGGAAGTCCTACTCACTGCCTTCTCGTGGCGGGGGTGTTGTTTACGAAAGTGAGAGGACGAAAAGCGAATGTCCGGTGCTTTAACCGGGTTGGTGGACACGGAGGGTCCACCTAGGGGAGTTGGAAAACCCTGATTCCAAACCAATGGTGCACATGGGCCCCAGTATCCTGATGGAACGAATGGCGGACGAACCTGTCATTGGTCAACGGCTACCATGGGACTGCATCTCCTCACGATGCTCCACTGCCTTGTGGATCAGACATTCAGGTCAAAGGCTCCGGGTGTGGCCCCCTAAGAAAACCACCTGCTTCAGTCTGAGCACCTGAGCAGTATCACAGCCCTCACACAAATCGAGTGAGATTTGTGAGGCGCATATTTATCTGGTGCTTCATTGTACCAATATTTATGTGTTTAAATAAATAATAAATAAACCTTGTCATTTTAAGATTTTTTTGTCATTTCAATTTCTGAGTAAAAAGCAGTTGCATCCAGTTGATAAGTCGCAAATGGGTTGAAACTTACGTCCTTATGGCCACCATCCACCTCTCATAGAAAGCTTTATAGTCTTTTTTTTAACTAATGGCATGAGAAAATCATTCTATTATCATTTGATTGTTGAGTTGTTTTAGATAGTTTTCTGGACTCAAGCAGAAACATATTCATCTAAAGTTCTTCCGTATTTAAACCATATAAATTTATTTTCCACTTAGAATGATAATAATACTTCATTTGTAATGCATTATTTATCCAATAAATTAGGAGATTACCACACCATTTTATTTCAGCTGATCCTATTGCGTAGACCAAACCATTGATATGGTTGAAAAATGTGTTATATTTCAGAGTGTTCATGTGTATGTGAGAAGCTTTGCCCATGGATTTCTATGTTAGCTTAACTTATGGATTATTGATTAGCATATTCCATGTATATGACCCGTCTTATTATATTTCAATCCTAATGTAAAGGTTTAATGATCAGTTTGACCGTTTGATTTACGGATTCACGGAATATTTAATTGCTCTTGTATTTCATTAAAATCCCGAGCCGTTCCAAGTCAGATAATCATTGAAGACCTGGACGTATTGGACGGCTGTTTCGGTTTATTATGGAGCTCCCCCGCAGCGCGCATCCACGACCCCGCACATGGAATCGAACCTCGGAACTTCTGTCTCACACGCGAACACAACTTCTAAACTACTGAACCTGGATTCAAATATATATATATATTACAAATCCATGTATGTTTTTGTGGTAGATCACAATTATTTCAGTCAGCAAACGTTTGAAAACATATAGACAATCCGCTTTATTGCTGCCTAAATTTTATTGAAAAAGTAATGACAAAGACACTAATTTTACTGATGTAAAAATCATACTTTGTTATTCCTTATTGAAAATGTTCATTTTTTGGTGTTGTCAAGTTCATTAAGCTAGATTGCTTGATTTCAGAAATTTTTACTGTCGTTGTGGTCAATATTGTCAGCGCTTCCTTCTTATAGATGTTTATTTCCATTTGACCATACTTAAATGACTTTCTAAAATATTCAGTGTAGACAGTTTTTGGATAAAATTTTACACATCATCTTTCATAAATCAATTGAAACTCATTGGTAAATGTACACATATTACTAATATAGACTATAGTTTTAAGTAATCTCTACCTTCATAGTACTTCCAGCAAGTACGTGAATTGAACTGCCAAATATCTTTAATGAAACTTTGGGTAGAAAACAAGAAGTTTATGATATATTAGGATTTTGCGTTCAGATAGTTTTTCGAATCTAATCTACTTAAATACTGATGTTTGTAAAAATCTATTTTTATTCTCATTTTAGATTTCTCTTCCCATTGGTGTTATGAACAGTTTATTCAATATCGAACTATGAAACGAGCTCGTGATATTCGTGATCAATTCGTAGGTTTGTTAGATCGAGTTGAAATTGACCTAGTGAATAATCCACATGACCACGTGAACATTCGAAAGGTAGCTAATCATATAATCTGTCGTGTTGTATTAATAATCCATATGAATTTGACTTACAGCGTTCTTTCTCTTATTTCGAAGCAATGTCTTTTTTTAACAAGAATCAATTGCATAATTAATAGCAATTATTAATTAATATTAGTGGCTTGACTGATAGTTTGTCAATAAAATACTTTTATAAGTTAATAATGAGTCACTATGAAAGGTTACATCATTCATTGAAATTGTTTAAAATTGTACTGAATATCCTGAAGGAAGATATGGTACTTTCAGAAATTATGCATAATAGTTTATGAATTTGATTCGAACCTCTTCAATCGAGTCATTTGTCTAGTCTGTATGTTTTGTCCTATGCTAGTATTGTATCTTCTCATAAACAGTGAAACTTTCATGCTGTAAAGAAATTTATCTAATGTGATTTAATTTAGACATGTTAACTATTGAATGCTGGATCTCCATAAGACCTAATGTTCCTAGGTTTCCATTTCCGTTAAGGTCGTGAATTTACACTCCTAATGAGACCCTTATCACAAAGTGTTTCCCTTTTTTGTCTTTTTCTTCTAATCACATTTCTCTTGTCTTTATTTTGTTCGTTGTTCTTTATTATTTATTGTTATTAGGCTATAACTGCTGGGTTTTTCTACCATACAGCACGATTCACTGGTGATGGTTATAAAACTGTAAAACAAAAGCACACAATTTATCCACATCCGAATTCATGTCTATCTGAAGCATTGCCTAAATGGGTTATCTATCATGAATTAGTATATACAACTAAGGAATTCATGCGTCAAATTATTGAAATCGAATCGAAGTGGCTATTGGAAGTTGCACCGCATTATTATAAAGAAAAAGAAATTGAATATACCACTGAAAAAGTTTCTAGAAATAAAGGCAAATCACGTGCAGAATTGGAGCCAACTGAAGGTGTTTAATGATGTTGAAAATAATACATGAAATGTACATTTTATAATTTTAAAGCGTGGCAGACAGACAAACGGAGACTTCGAATGTATCTTTTCAGAGTTGTACATTTCCTTTTTGACTTTGATACCTTGTTTTTTTTCTCCAGGAAAAAAAACGTCTTGTACAGTTTTGTATTTTAAAGTTTTAACTTAGATTATTCAATTTTTTACAGAAAGAAAATATAAAAATTGATTCAAATAGCTATGTCTTTTTTAACTAGCTTCTCATCATCGTGAGTCTACACACTTATACAATTTAAAATTAGCAAAGTGTAAGGCCTTAATTTATTTGACTATGTTACAATGATTGGAAATTGTATGTAAATAGTCACTCCAAGAATTCATGAAAATTTTAAACAATGCTATCTAGCAGCTTAGGTGATAATGTTTTATCGGTTTTAGTGATGTTTATTTAACTGAAGACTTATAGTGGATGCTTACATGATATTAGAGATTTGTCTCAAACACGATATAACACATTCTAGATTTGATATCTGACCTATATATATAATTTTCAGTATAACCCTTATTACTTGCAAGTAGTTGAGAGATCAAATGAAAATTCTATTATTTTATCCAACTGCTTAAACTATAGTAGATGAAGTCGTAATAGTCTGGCTTCAGTATGACAGTCAATACTGCAATGCAGGCACATTCAACTGGCTAATCTCAAACAGGATATAACTTGCGTGTTATATTTCACTGTTGGTCTCAAACCAACCTAACTAAAAATAAGTGAAGTTATGATAGGCTGGTCATTGGAATTCAATTAAATGATTCAACATCGACGTATTCACGATGTCATCTCAAGGCCTTAGATTTTAATCTATAAAAGACTAACAGTATCCTCTGTTAAATATTTATAAACTCTGTTATTCTGGAATTTTCCGTGATCACTTAATAATAATACATCAGTAAATTAACATCAGGTTCACGAGTATAAACTTTGAGTTAGATCAGCATTTACGGCCTATTCATTGTATAAAATATGTCCTGGATATAGTATTATGGGGCTTTCGTTTTCTTGCATGGATTCTTATGACCATGCATCTTGTTCTACCTAATAATATACAAGAAAAAAGCGATGATGAAAGTGCATGGTTTTTATCTGACACTGGAAGATATCATATGTCTGTCCACAATCCTATTCATAATGACATTAAGAGACTCACGGCATATCTTGTTAATTTTCTTAAAAACTCTGCGAAAATTGACGACAGAATGATGGGGGGCAGTAAATTGTGATGGGCAATAAACAAGAACTTACAAATTGTAAAAGTGTTGAATAATGCCAAGAACGTATCATTTTTATGCACTAAATCAGACTGAATTTCTTCAATATTAACAGAGCATGAGAAAACTCAGATGTCAGAAAGCAGATTACGCCTATGTAAGTGACGTTTGACTTAGTTTTTACTACACAGTCTCCAGACATGATTCTAACAGGCTATTTAAGTGTTTTTCATATCCCAGGCTAAAAATTTAACTATGATATTAAGAAGGATTAGTTGTATAATCATTAGAAATAGACTATCGTTTGACGAAAGTTAAGAATATATTCGTTTCAATAGAATTCGAGGAAGGAACTGGCGTACATACAATAAGATCATCCGTATACTTAGCACAAGTGTTTGTTTTTTGTAGATGATCGACCATACAAAATAATGGGGAAAAAACAGCTCCTTGCGGTACACCGATTTTGGCTAATAAATAAGTGAAATATTTCCCATTAAGCTCAGCACACTGTTCTATCCCAGTGAATTAAGAACACCCACAGTTGGTTATTCAGTTATTGGTGTTAACACTTGTAAAATTCCTTGATATTCCTAGTTATGAAACAGAAGCGTAGTCTAGAAATACTAATCTAACATTGTTTCTACTCCTAATCAAACTGAAAATTCTACATACTATGGTGCAGAATAACTGCAGCATCCAAAGTACCTCGTTCCTATCTGTAAAAAAACTGATATAGATCAGTATGCTCCTTCAATGCAAGCGAAACTGAGAGTAGCAACAGCTTTTGCATCGTTTTCTAGAAAAGGTGAAGTTATCGCTATTGGTCGAAACCTTTCATTTTTATCACCGGATACGTTATTTACTACTGGGATTGTCTTTAATTTTTTTTTACATTTTCAACATAAAATTAGTTGAAAACGATTCATTAAAAATGCTCTTTAATGGGTAAAATAGAACGTCAGTACATATTTTTTTAATGGGGTTGGAATTTCGTCGGTTTCTAAACATTTTGACTAATTAAACGACTTGAGGCATTTAAAAATATCAGGTTGAGCAAACTTTGTGGCAAAATTTCCTTGAACATGGAGAAACAGGGAACATGACATCATATCTTGCAAATTTTCCTTTGAGTGGTTTCTATGTTTGAATTTCTTTGTCTAGTGAAAAAGTGTATTCTTTCCAAGATTGACATATAATTTATATCAATTTTACAGTGATCAGATCTAAGGGAAAGAATACGTTTACTAGTTGCATATATTCCCAAAACTTTAGTGAAAGCTAAATCTAGAACATCCGAGTGGGAGGAGAAGTCGACTGCATTCTAGCGATCTAGAGATGAGAGAAAGCTACTGGCGAATGACCTAAAGTCACTGCACACTATTGAAAGAAAATCACTAATGGTAGTAGCAGCAAATTCAGTGAACCCATCAATGAAAACAGATACTGCAGATGAGATGCACTTTGGAGCCATGTAAATTTTGAAACTATAAATACCACTGTATTTGTTTAAGTGTTCTGGATGCCATTTCAACCGTAAAAAGTCCATGAAATTGTTTAAAAACTTGAAAAATACATAGATTGGTACCAGTTCATATTTAAAAACGTGGCTATGCTATCACTCTACTGCTTAGACAATTTTGACGATAAATATTGTAAACATGTACTTCTATGAAGTCGGTGTCATGTGGATGAGAGTTTTTAATATATAAATACACTGCAATTATGATATACGTTTAGGGTTAGTAAAAATTAAAGATAGTCCATTTTTCATATTGGCAATCTGAAATTAGTGGTAGGCAGTTTAGAAGCAGATAATTGATTAATATTCATTTGTTTTAATTCATCACTCCAGCCACTGAGATTTCTTCCATTGAATGCGATTGCAGTTTACATAGCAATAGGTTGTAAACTTTTTATATACTGAAGTCAATAGGTTATTTGGTTTCTTTGTACAATTAGGGAGTTCAAATAAATTTAAAAATTAGTATAAAACATTTTTAAATATTTGAATGGCAGAGAAAATATGTATCCCATACATTCAAATCGACTGTCAAACCCTATTTACTAAGTAATTAAATTTTAATCTATGGAAAACGTCGATAAAAAACTTATTTTTATTATTAATGGAAATAAAGTAGTAAAGTACGACTGAAAGTTCCACACATCAATTTGGATAATCTTAGTTGATAAATTTTTTTGGATTTCTACAAAAGTGGGTTAATCTATTCATTTTATATTATTAGAGGAATATAATATTATTCAGAGTATTCTGTCCCATGTCCGATGCAATACAAATGCACCAATCGAATTACACTTGACGGAGAAGCTTTGGAGGATGTGAACACCTTTACATATCTGGGCAGCATCATTGATGAACACGGTGGATCAGATGCAGATGTGAGGGCATGGATCGGTAAAGCAAGAGCAGCATAGATACAACTGGAGAACATTTGGAACTCAAAACAATTGTCAACCAACACCAAAGTCACAATTTTCAATATAAATGTCAAAACTTCTACTGTATGGGGCGGAGACGTGGAGAACTACGAAAGCCATCATCCAGAAGATACAAGTGTTTATTAACAGTTGTCTACGAAAAAATACTTTGAATGTGTTGTCCAAACACTATCAGCAACAACCTACAGTGTGAGAGAACAAACCAGGTTTCAGTGGAGTAAAAATATTAGGAAGAGGCGCTGGAAGTGGATGGGACACACCTTGGGGAAAGCAGCCAACTGCGTCACAAGACAATCCCTGACATGGAATCCTGAAGGCCAAAGGAGAAGAGAAATACCAAAGAACATATTACGCCGAGAAATCGAGACAGACATGAAAAGAATTAGCAAAAGTTATATAGAACTAGAAAGGAAGGCCCAGGACAGAGTTGGTTGGAGAATGCTGGTCGGTGGCTTATGCTCCATTGGGAGTAACAGGCGTAAGTAAGTAAGTGAGTATTCTGTCCCATATGATATGTAAATAGTCAGAGATCCACTACTATTTATTTATTGGTGTTCAAAGTAGAATTGATTAGTTTGAAATAGCCTCTCAAAAATATGCTTCAGTATTACCTACCCTTATTATTATATTGTTGGATAATGACTGACTGAATCAAATGATTCATGTTTCGCTCAATAAAAGACTAATTAGAATAATATATTTCTATCTTAGTATTGATGTTTCAAACGAGATTCGAATCTAGCACATATTAGTTTCACATGTAAGCATACTATTCTTTATTCGGTCTAGTCACATGAATCATTTATTTATTAGCTTTCATAACATGTCATATTGGCTGAATGTTTTATATATTTGCACTTTTTTATATTTTTAACGGACTTGCATATATATCATAACAGTTGAACAATTCGATAGCTATGAAGATTATGCTGTTCAATAGATGAGTTCAATTACCAGTAAAAACATCAACATTGGAATCCAACCAGATAAAACTGACGAATTTCAAATTAGATGAAACATATGCTCTTTGTTTAATTACTAACCATCATTTCGAGAAAGATCGAGTACTCTATACTTAAATCGTGACTTTATTCAATAACTTCTCATTAGTCAACTTTTTTTCTTAATTCATAATGTTATAATTTTTAATCTCTAAACTATTTTTTTCATTTTTTTTTAAAATTTATCGGATTAGTTTATTCATAATACGGGTTGAACTGATACATTGAAATATTGTGAATGGATAAATAATAAAGGATTGAATATATATACCGATGTTCTCTTCATTTTTTAAAAAGAAAACGTAGCCTTTTTAAAAGAAAGGAAAAAAGAAAGAGATCCCCTTCTGTTTGTTGTTGGTGTTGTTCTCCAAATAAAATAATAATGGTTTATATAAAGTGGATTTATTTATTTTATAATTTATCATTCATTCATTTATATACACAGTTTGATATAATAAATTTATACATTAATTCATTGATATACAACTAAGCTGAATTATTCATTAA